CGAGTCCTGAGTACACTGAACATGCAACATAAAAAGCCATGGACCAGGAAGAGCCCGACAAGGGGGGAAAATATGCAAAATGTTAATGAGGATCCATACTGCAATATACTGAGGGTCAAACGTGTCTTGACCTGAACCAAACTGCAGTCCCTAAAAACCACAATGTGACTTGCTGTCCAAAATTTAGACTCTTCTAGGTCAATTTATCCTGACATTTAAAAGAGTAGGATGCACACTCTAAACTCCATTATAATTCCTTAAACTCTTTAAATTCTTTAAAATGTTTAAAACAAATAAGTGACTTAATCAGGACAGTTTTAAATATCCTGACATTACACAAGCAGAATGTGACATGAGTGGCACAGCTCTCTTCCACTGCTTTTCAGGAAGATGAATGGATCACAATGGGGAACTGCCTTCTCAATCCTGGCTGCAAAACAGTAGATCATAAACACTCCCTCATATTTCAAGCAGAGCTGTGGAAGAGCACAACCGGGCTGTGATTTCTGGGGAGATGAACATTTCTATATAGTTTCCACTGTACCAACAACATACTATGCCAGCTGACGGTTTCACACCCATACCCCACCCCTCAGGGTGCAGAAGTGACACACCCAATCCTATGAAAACATCTGGCCTGATGAGGAGCAATTAAAGAGGTGCCACCAATAAGAAACAAAATAGGAATGGAGCAATGAGAAGATGAAACCTTAAAGATTCAAATGCCTCAATAAAGGGAGTGTAACAATTTATGGCAAAGAGTTCAGCACATGCAGATATCTTTTGACAGCTAATTGTGCACAGAGGTGCCAAAGACAACTGGGAAATTCAAGTTTTCTTTGCAACTTGTGATACAGCACCAACACAGAAAGAGAGCTGGGAGCAGAGGGAGGTGGTAGGACAGAAGCAAAGCCAATCTTTTCCTTCACGAACAGCCTGAGCCATCAGGGGTAAACTGGTGAGCCATATTGCAGTCCATTGCTCAGGCCAGCAGAAACAAGAAGCATTAATTGGTCATGTGATGCAAACTGTAAAATGAAAAAAATTTAAACTCCTGGCCCTTTCATTGTACTGTTCCCCAATAACATCCTTAGAATGACCTCTGCTCTCTGGCTATACCCACGCCACTGGCTATTGTGGTGATCTGCAGAAACTTCCCTACCAAAGAGCAGCACGAGAGCAAATGTTTCCATTTTATTATTCTTGTTATGTAGTAGAGGACATGGGTTTATTTCAGTAAAGTTATGTGTAGTAAAATTATTATCATCTAATCAGATCTTGAATGGCCTTAGAACACAATTTCCTAATGCACTTGTGAAGTCCTGACATTAAAAACTCTTTACAGTGGAGGTAGAACATCAACAGTAAAAAGGTATAAAGAATATAGAGACAGAATGAGACAAACTGTTTCTAGATGTAAAAGACAGGGAGCACTAGCCTGAGGACATAATTTTAATGGTTTTGAAGAGAGTCTGGGGGGGGGACTTGTCCAGACTCATCAACACTCTGATTCAGCTGCACCGCTACAAGACAGTGTCACACTGAGGACTGGACAGGACACAGACACAGAGGTGACAGGACACCGGTCACTGGGGAACACTGTCCACTAAGCAGCAGAGGCAGGACTGCTGAACAGCTTAAGTGTTTTTTGCAGAATTTTCAAGACTACTGCTAGTTGCGCAGGCATTGTAGACAACTGTTGCGACAAGGAGCACTTTTCTTCTGGTTTTCTGGACAAAGTAAATCGGAGCAGATTGTCACGAAAATTGCAAAACTACAAACCGCAAGCCTTCAAGAAACTAAAATAACCACTGCGTGCACAACCCGAAGTTTCATGATAAAACAGTGCCAATATTCTGTATTTCACACTTTTGGGATAAAACACATCCTTCCTTTAAGGGTTTGTCTAAGGCAGAGCTCTGTTTCTTAAAAAGGTTCTGTGG